CCCAAGATGACGTATCCCAACTCAAATATTTGTGCATACACACAGAGAATAGTTTATATGATCTCATAGTGATTTTCTGGATTACCTTTGCTTTATGAATTTAAGAAAGTCACTTACTTCTTTTTATCTGCTAACCAAGGGGTTCATAAATATTCTCTAAAAATCTGTGGGCTCTAACATGGGAAGTCAGAGAGTACTTACTTTTCCTAGCAGGTGTGAAAGAAAAACTCTCGGTTCACCTTGAATAACATCTGGAGGGACTGAATTAATAGAGTAAAACTGCAACTTCAAAACTGTTCTTTAGAATGTTAATTTAATTTTAAAACCTTTTGAAAAGGTTTAAAGGATTCTTTTTTAATAAACTAACTAGTGGGGAAGAAATAAGCCACTTGTTTTGAGAAGTTATCAGTGGTTTCAAGACTGTAGTGGCAACTGGATTTTCAAAAAAGAGGAAATATTTTAAAATAATTCTCCATTTTTGACTAAGATAAGGACTATTTGCTAGTGAATGGAGACTCAACATACACAACCATGTCTTCTATTTACGTGGTTGAGTATCGTTTTAAAAAGACTATCCTGACCACACGAGATCATTTTTCTCGGCAAACAAACCTGAAGAAAAGTATTACATCATTACTGATTCATTTTCTGTCACTCATTTCCAACATCTCATTTGTTACAGAAAATTAAGTAGATTTTAGTAAAAAGGTATTAAAAAGAAATTCCAGTTTCATAACTCTCTAGTACTTATAATTATTATAACCATGGTGAATATTTGCAAAGGCCCAGAGTGTGAGACTCAATTTACTGAATAAGCCAGAATAAGCCAGAGAAGCAATTGCTGTGGTCTGACTGTTTGTGTCTTCCCCCAATTCATATATTGAAATCTCAACCTCCAAAGTGCTGGTTTTAGGAGGCGGGTCTTTGGGAAGTGATAAGTCATGAGGGTGAAGTCTTCAAAAATGAGATTAATGCCTTTATGAAAAAGACTTTAGAAAGACTCCTTCCTCTTTCTACCATGTGAAGTTCTAGTGAAAAGATGGCTGTTTAGGAACCAGGTAATAGGCCCTCACCAGACATCAAAACTGTTAGCACCTATATTCTGGAATAAATTTCTGTTGTTTATAAGCTCAGTTTATAATATTGTGACAGAGCAGTCTAAACATACTAAGAAAGCAATAAATTATTTTAGATGAATAGGTACTTTTAAGATAGTTTAAAATAGTGAACTCTGTTTAGTTTAGCAATAATTTATATCATTCCTTTCTTTTGAGATGATTACTGACTACAAAAATTAGTTTAAAAAGTACAACTTTTGAGATTCGTAGTATAATGATGAACTTCAGCCATGCTCTTATCTGACTTGTTAGAGATTCTCAATTTATGTGGAGAAATAGGAATGTTTGACACTGTTGGTGGGAATATAAATTAGTTCAACCATTGTGGAAGACAGTGTGGCCATTTCTCAAGGATCTAGAAACAGAAATACCATTTGACCCAGCAATCCCATTACTGGGTATATACTGAAGGATCATAAATCATTATATTATAAAGACACATGCACACTGAATGTTCATTGTGGCACTGTTTACAATAGCAAAGACCTGGAACCAACCCAAATGCTCATCGATGATAGACTGGACACAGAAAATGTGGCACATATACACCATGGAATACTATGCAGCCATAAAAAATGATGAGTTCATGTTCTTTGCAGGGACTTGTATGAAGCTGGAAACCATCATTCTCAGCAAGCTGACACAAGAACAGAAAACCAAACATCACATGTTCTCACTCATAAGTGGGTTTTGAACAATGAGAACACATGGACACAGGGAGGGGAACATCACTCACGGAGGCCTGTTGTGGGGTGAGGGACTAGGGGAGAGATAGAAGTGGGTGGGGGGACTGGGGAGGGATAGCATTAGGAGAAATACCTAATGTAGATGATGGGGGAATGGATGCAGCAGACCACCATGACACGTGTATACCTATGTAACAAACATGTACATTCTGCACATGTATCCCAGAACTTAAAGTATAATACAAAAAATCATAAAAAAGAGTGAAATCTACTGCACACATTTGGCTCTCATTCTTATGGATGTGGTATGAAGTGGTGAATCCAACCTCTATATATGAGTATTTGATAAATTTGCTTAAGTAGAACTTCTAGATGTATCTGACACTTGTTCCCAACCTAATTGTTTAATTACCTATAGATTATAAGGCATTTTTATATACATATCTTATTGAAAGCTCTGGATCCTAACAAAGAAAGCACTTGCTTGGATTTGCCTCCCTGGCCCCTTTCTTCACTTGTTCATACTCAGGCTCCTACCAAATCACATTCCTTGCAGTCCCCAAATGTTCCATTACATATCATGCCCCTCAGTCTATGCATGTGCATGCTGGGTCCTATATACCCTTCCTCCAGCGTGATCTAATAGGTGAATCCTTACTATGTCCTAGGTCCCACCTTGATATGGCCTTCTCCAGGAAGCACTCCCTGCTGAGACTCATTTCTATCACACCTGAGATTAAGCCATTCATAGTATTTACTATACTATACTGAGTACCAGACGTTCCCCCTGGCCTAGGACAGAATCTTGTAATATTATTAGCATAATGTCCATCACAGAGAAGTGTTCAAATACATTAATTGAGTAAATAAATGGGTGAGTGGTAGCTAAAACTTCATTTTCTCTTTAATGTGTTTTCTGTACATGATTTCCACATTTCAGTTATTTTTAATTCCCTGGGAAGAGCATCTTGCAATTTTCTCCAATTTTAGGTTTTCTTTCGGACTTTTGCACCTTGCTCTGCCTGATCACTCCTTCACTCATTCAACAAATAATTTTGAGTTTTGTTTATGTACAAAGTACTTTGCAAAGTTTTCCAAGGAAGCCCAAGATAAATAATACTTGGATGTTGCTCACAAAGGGCTTACAGTCTAATAGAAAAGGGAAGACAAGCATAAATGTCAAAAATGGCAAGTTTAATAGAAGGGAAGTAACACATCCAATTGGCGGGATAAGGCAGGCTTTCTTGGACATGAACAAGGCCTGATAGTGTGTGCAAAGTCCAGACATCATAGCATAATGAGAAAATACATTCCAAGCCATGAGATGATGTGTGTGACAAAGAAAGAAGAAAACAACATGAAAACCACAGACAAAAACCTGCTTTGACCTCGGTGTTTATGGAGAAGAGTCGCAATGCGGATGGTATGCTGAAAACGAAGCCTGGCTTGATCCAGGTAGGGGAGGGTCTTGGAAGTTACATTTTTGTAGGCATAGGGGTTTAGTAAAAGCTTCTGTGCAGAGTTGTACATCTCTCACTGACTGACTCTTGCTTCATCTTTCTATACAATATTTCTGTACCTAACTCTTTTTTTATGTGAAACTACAGAAATACCTTTTATCCCATTCCAATTCCTTTTCCTGTTACTTTATGACATTCTAAATAATTCTAAAAATTCCAACTTGAAGGTTGCTAGCAAGGTCATCATCAACCCATTTCCCCCGCATCCTCATTAAGCTCCATTACTCACATCAGGCTCAAAATCCCAACAATTAATTTCTGCAGTTGTCTCTTACTGGCATCTTTCCAATACTAATTTACCTGCTACAGATTTTTTTAGCTATTTCGATAACTTTGCCATCAACATTTCCATTTCTGGAGCCATTTCCTTATCTTACAGTTCCTATATTGTTTCTTTTTTTGAAATACCAACTCATGGCCAAATTCCCTTGAGCATCTTCTAGGATTATGGGAAGAGTATATTAAACAGAGGCCATTATTTTCCACACATGGATCTATGTACTGCAATAATAAACCATGTATGTATTACTGATCTTTCACAAACCAAGTACATAGCAGTCGGCACTCAATAACTTTGTTGAGTGCTTAATAAATGTGTGAATGAGTAAGTGCTGGTTCATGCTGGAGTGCAGGTTCCTCAGTATCATAGATTAGTATTTCTATTCTGTATCCTTAAGCACTTTCACTGATACAGGCATTAAATAAATTCTGATTAAATGAATGCATTAATCCCTTTAGAAAAAGGATGCTGTAGAAAAATGAAGAAGTGCAAACAAGATGCAATGCAGTAAGTTTTCTCACCTCAAAATATGTAGAGCATCATATATATTATTTACGCTATTACAGAAACATACATATTCTTGAGTTCTCATTTACTGACGCCTGGCATATATGCTTTCAATAAAGTGTAGCCATTGTTGATGTTTTTTAAAGCCTAACTCAAAGGCTTCACATCTTTGAACTAAACAAGAGTTCTGGGTTTTTATGACTTACACAAACAGAAGCTGAGTGTGGTTAGAGTTATCTGTGCCTAATATTTTAATTCCATTGTTCAATAATTCCCATTCCTTTGCATTAGTTTTGCTTTATTATACCCTTATAACACTCTCAAATATATCTATAAAACTTTACAGCCCTTTTCCAATGGCATATGGTGTGTGTTCTGAAGAGAAACATGTTTATGAGCTGAAAGATGGGAAGAAAATGTAAAGTGCTCTTACGGGACTCAGGGAGGGATTGCTGCCTGCCTGCATGGCAGGAACACTGTAGTATATCAGACTCTTGCAAACTGAACAGAAGCCCTTCTATTTCAACAATGAGCAGAATTCTGGAATTATGCTATGCCAACTTTGATGCTACTGAGGTATTTTTCGTTTTCTTTTTTTTTTTTTTGCTTTTGCCCTAAAGATCAAACGCAGTAGTTCCTGAAACAATATTTTAATACTATATGCTGTAGAATAATATCAACTGAGATGAACGGAAAGAGAGAACTGTAGAGTGTGGATGGAGGAGTGACAAAAAATACCATTTTACTGTCCTCTCCCATTGAAGCTCACCTAAACTTTGTCCAAGCCAGAGTTTGCAACATTGTTCCTTGCAGAGCTTGTTCAGTTGCTCTTGGAAATATGAAAATACTTATTCTAAAAGGTACTGCTGTATTCTTTTTCTTTTTTCTGATGTTGTCTTGATTTGTTGCCCAGGCTAGAGTGCAGTGGTATGATTTTGGCTCACTGCAATGTCCACCTCCTGGGTTCAAACGATTCTCCTGCCTTAGCCTCCTGAGTATCTGGGACTATAGGCATGTGCCACCACGCTTGGCTGATTTTTTGTATGTTTTAGCAGAGACAGGGTTTCACCATGTTGGCCAGTCTGATCTTGAACTCCTAACCTCAGGTGACCTGCCCACCTCAGCCTCCCAAAGTGCTGGGATTACAGGCGTGAGCCACCATGCCCGGCCTTGCTGTATTCTTAAGATGGTCATTTGTGGAGTGCTAGATTCAAATTTTCAGTTGCCTCATGTATTCCCTCTCTGTCTTCCTTGTCATGACATTGGTCTATAGTGACACAGCTGCAGAGACCAGGAGTCTTTGTGTGACCTCTGACTTCTTTGTTCTTGCCCCTAGTGGGTCACCAAGCGCAGTCATTTCCCTCTCCCATTTCTCTCACTCACTCTTCCCCTTCATTTCCGTCACTCTTGCCCAGGTGTCAGGCCTTGAACTTATCTCACATAGCCCATTCCAATAGTTTCTTAGTCTCTTTTAACTCTAGGCTTCCCCACTCAAATTACTCTCTAACATGCCACCATAAGATGGTGATTTCTTTTAGACAGCCTTAAATAGCCCACGAAATAAACAACAACGCCTTTATCTCTGTCTAGTAAGTCCTTGGTTTGTTTGCTTATAATTCACATCTTTTTACCATCCTGACCTAGTTCAACCCTGCAGTCCCCCACCCAAGTGTCAGCAGCATTGGGTGCATGTACGGGCTTCTTTTTGTATATCCTGCGCAACCCTGAATTCTCCTGAACTTCTCCACCTTCTGAAATATGGCTCCTCTATCAAATTGTGGCTCAAAGGCTCTTGTATGTATTCCTGAATTTCTCCATTTAGAAACAATTCTTCTTCTCTGCTTCCTGACACTACTGGCATTGCATCCAATTGTAGCATTTTTATTCTGCTTTTTCATTATACTTTGCAGTTTTAACTCCTGTTTGCACCCAGTAACTATAAACTGCATCTTCATGTCGTCATCTTCAACATCTCCATTACCCATTTCACAGTGTGTTTTAAATAGACTCAGGATTATCTTTACACAGAATGTTGGTTCTACTCATGAGGATTCTCCTGGTCCATATCCTGACATTTCTAAATGCCCAGCCTTTTCTACAGATATTCTATTAAAAGGTAAAGTAAAAAGGCACTGAGCTGCCTTTAAATAGCGATATAGGAAAATTTCACTGCAGGTCAGGGAGGGTACTCTCATGCTGTCTGCCACCCAGTGTTGATCAAACATAGATGTGAAAATAAAATATTTAAGGAGAATGGTTTGAAGGATACATTTTTCTGAATGCTCTATATTTTACTTCTGGTGTTCTAAATTTAAGCTAGATCTTTAGAGATCTAGTTAGCTGGACAGTCCTTTGCAAAATTCTTGCCACTGTTAAGAGTGAAAAAAAGACAGTATAAACTGCTACATTATGAAACTTGCTGTTGCATTTGTATCAGAGACCTAGTTCTAGAACAAAACATCTCCTTTGTATGGACATATTAGACATTTCTTGAAGGATTCCTACCAGAAAGAAGTGCTTTGCTTTTTCCACTGGTTTAAACCTGTATTGTGGTCTATATGTGATCTATACGTGACTGCTCCACTTTTTGCATTAGTTGCAGGCAGTTCAAAGTCTTATTTTAAACCTCCCTTTATTAGGGATATAATCCCTACTACTGATAATACTTAGCTTACTATTTATATACACATAGATACTAACTCCATTCTGTGCCCATTTTACTTTTTTCACTCTAATTCCTACCATCTGATCTTTCTTTCTCTCTCTTTTCTTTTCTTTATCTCTCTCTCCCTCCCTCCCTCCTTTCCTCCCTTCCTCTCTCTATCATCTATCTAACTTCTACATGCGCACTTATTACTTAATTATTGAAAACCATTATCACAAGTTCTAAGAATGAACCATGTTTTGAAATAAATGAATACACTAGTAAGTTCTGTTTCCTATAAAGTACCTAAGGCAGCACTTTACACATAGAAGACACTCTTTCCTGATTGGATTCCCAAAATTTCAAAGCACTAAAATATACTCCAAAAAAGGAAGGCTACAGGTCCGATGTAATTAGTCACTTGAAATAATGTAAATTGGCTTTTGGTCAAAGTTGAACACAATAATACGGTACTCATCCTTATTGGCTTTCATCTATTCTTAGTGAGTCATATTTCATAACTTTAGGTAAAACAAGTGAGGTAATATGTGCAGTATGTTTCCCTGCAATAATCTTCATACAGAATATCTGAAAGAGAATGGTGCTTTTCATGCATGTAATAACACCCAGGCACAACTATATCAGCTAACTTTGCTAGATAGCAGTCACAAAAAGGGCATTAATATCTCTCTTACCTCCACCTGAGAAAGGTTAGTGCTATGGGATGTGCACAACAGGAAGGTCAAAGAGCATGGATTGCTGGTCCCTACTATATGTCGGAGCAAGACAACTGAAATACACTGAGAAGGTCAAGAGCACTGAGAAGCTGAAGAAACAACTATTTGTGTGTATGTGGATGTTTATAGGATCTGAAGAAACCTGAGCACAAATGTCAGTCTTCATGACCTGATCATATATGACCGAATACAGAGGTGAAATCAAGGTGCTTCTACTGAGGAGTTCAAAACATAGACTCCTGAAGAATGAGACTGCAGTAAGCCAAGGCATCCAGGTCCTAACAGGAACGAAATCCATGAACAAAACTAGCAATGAAGAAAGATCATTCAAAATGGAATAATTTTAGTTTCTAGGGTTACCTTTTTTTTGCATTTTTTACATAATAAAATCTTTTTTGTCATTTTTTTTTTACTTAAATGATTTTTAAATGAAGATAAATGGTTGCTAGGGTGCCTATAATTTAAAATATGTCTGAAAAGATTTCTGTGACAGTCTCAATTACCAAGCTATTAAAAGTAAACACAACTGAAAATTGGAAGAACCTGCGGAGAGAAGCCCAGGAAAACGTTGATTTAGAAAAAAAAAAAAAAAAAAAGCACACAGATAGTTTTAAAAACACACTTATAAAATATAACTCCTTTATGACCCTCAACAGACCTTCCTACAGCTCAGCTTTCTTTAGGTCAGTCAAATTACAGCTAAAGCTTTCATCAACAGGAACATCACTCTTGGTGTGCATGCTTCAGTGTAAGAACTGTTACTACTAATAAAAGTTTATAATACTACGAATTTTTTCCTTAAGTGATAAACAAATGCCCCTACAGACAAATACAATGTTGTATCTTATCACTAATCTATTCTACCCCACATTCATTAACATAGCTACAGTAGAGTGTACTGGGTTAGGAAATGAATGAGATGGAGGAAATCTTCATAGCTCACTATTTCTAATATAAAATAGGAATTCTGCACAACAATTTTATCTTTATATTTTGCAAATATAATAGTAATAACTATGGAATATTTGACAAATGGGGAAAAGTAAACAACTACTACTACATAAATCTAGCACTCTAAAAATTCTATCATTCTTATAGGTCATTCTTCCATCTTTTTAAAGTGCAAATCATCAAGATGAAAATGACTTGCTCATTTTGCATTCTATCATTAAAATGCTGCATCCAATAAATTTACTTTAATCAATTATTTTCTGTATTGCACCCAAGTTTATATAATGACTACTATTTCATTAGTAAGTAATGATGAAAAGAACTTCTATATGCACATTAAAAATATATTTTGGATTATTTACTTAGGGTTAATTCAAATACTTTAGATTATAGAATTTATTTTTCAAAGAGTTGGGCCTATTTATAAAGTCTTCAATATTTATGAGATCAACAGTTTCAAACCAATACTTGATACTGTCTTAATATAACATGAATATTATTTTTTTCTGTTCTGTTAGTTTGTAATGAAAAAATGAGATCTTAGTTTTCCTTACAACTTTTTAAAAAACTAGTTAGCTTGAACATTTTCTATGTTCTTTATTAGATGTATTTCTTGTTTTGTATATTGTCTAACTATAGAGGTACTAAGAAATTTTTAAAAATTTAATTTAGCCTTTTGTAAAATAAAAGTATTAATTCTGTCACACTTATTATATTTTCTTTAACTCTGTTGCTAGCCTGTTGGAATTTGTGTTATATACTACATACATAAATTTTGTGATTTATGCAGATAAATCTATTTGTTGGTCTTCTCTTTCTTTTTCAATTGCTTTTTGATGGTGATATACAATGGTATCATAGTTTTATTTTATCCTACTTTTTTGTTTGAAAAAATAACTTTTTTCTCAAACTTATGCAGATAAATCTGCTTATTAGTATCTTTTTCCTGTTTGTTGCTTTTAAGAACTGATTACCTATAAAAGCTTGATAAATATTCAGGTTTGTTTTTTTCTACATGCACTTTGGTTTGATTTTACATCTAACTATCCAATCCTTTGAAATTTGTTTTGATATAAGGTATGAGATTTTTAAATATTTTTCCTTAGTAATTGTTATACAATATCACAGAGCACACTGCAATTAAAAAAAAACTTTTTCCCTTTGTTGAATAAACCTTCTATGATACATACTGACCTACTAGGTTACATTAAAAAAAATTATATTCTAGGCTGTGTGCGGTGGCTCATGTCTATGATCTCAGCACTTTGGGAAGCTGAGGCGGGTGGATCACTTGAGGTCAGGAGTTTGAAACCAGCCTGGCCAACGTGGTGAAATTCTTTCTCTATTAAAAATACAAAAAATTAGGCAGGTGTAGTGGCACATGCCTGTATTCCCAGCTACTCGAGAGGCTTAAGTGGGAGAATCACTGAATACTGAGAGGCAGAGGTAGTAGTGAGCTGACATTGTGGCACTGCCCTCCAGTCTGGGTGACAGAGTGAGACTCAAAAAAAAAAAAATATATATATATATATATATATATTCTAATTATATTAGGTAGAGACAGCTATGGTGTAAGGGTGGTTAGCAATACTAAGCTGATAATAATTCCTTTAGCTTTTAGGTAATGACTTATGGCCAAGCTGGGATTTTATACAGCTGGCTCTATGTTTTCAAAAAAACGGAAGAACATCACTTTTGACATTTTAATTGAATTAATCTATTTCCATAATAAAAGTAACTCTATTAAACCTGAGTATAAATATTTGCTTTCCTTTGAAAAACGATCAGTTTAAAATAAGCCAGAACTGTATATGTGAGCATGAGTTCTGAAACAAATTGCCTGAGTCTGCCTCTCTGGTCTCCTACTGACAGGCTGGATAGTTTGGCAAATCATACAACCCTTTGTGTGCGACTTTTCTCATAGGTGACAGGACAATAATAATAGTCATGACTTCTTACAGTTGTGATAAGAATAAAATGAACTGAATGACTTTTTATGTTACTTTACCAAGTTTGGGGAGGAAGAGGAGGAAATGTGTCAACAAAGGCTTCCTTAAAGAGGGTGATTATTTGGTTAAAACTTAAAATATAAGCAATGTTCACTATTTGAATGTTGTATTTCGACACGACTTTCTGAAGCTGGTGGCGGCCCAGTTAGCAGAGGTTTACTCCATACCTTTAAAGGTTCAGTACAGCTCTGCAGGGGCATGTGGGATGCTGTTTCTTATCAGTAGCCTTCGGCCTAACGATGTTGTAAGTTAACATTGCCTTTGATAGTTACCTCCTCTCAGCAAAACCAAGGTATGAATTTGAGAGTACCTCAGTGTTGAGATTTTAAATAGAAAAAGATCTGATAAAATAATTTACACAAAGGTGAACAGTAACTAGTGGGTTACTCTTTCCACGCAGGGTCTTATATATATTTGTTAATTTAAAAAGTGTTTTGGAGATAATTGATAGTTTAAAAAATCAGCCTACAAGGCAGCTTAATCCACCATTTTTCTGAGTTTCTCTAAGCATTAAGTTTGGTCACCAAGAAGCAATGTTCTTCGATTTT